CACGGTCCTCAATGTGCACAACATCGTTGTTTTGAAAAAGCCCGACCTATGCACTGACGGCCTCCTTGTTATAGGCTTCGGCACCGTACACATGGGTGAGCAAACTGTTAGCCGAGTTTCTTTTGAAAGAAGGAGTTAGCGCCAAAAAAAACTGCATAAGCGGTACCCTAACAATGAATGAATAAATGGCCACATTTTATGGCGATTCACAGATTCGTTATCCGAACTAGTTCTTTGGCGGCACTGGGCTGCATGGGTGGCTCACAAAACAAGTAATTCTCAGTGGTGCCGTGCGGTATAATGCAAATAACGTTACCAATCCCAACTCTAAAGGTTTTCATAGCACGAAAGATTCAAAAGTGAAAGATTTTGATGAAGGCTGTCCTTTCTTTTCAAAGGAGCGGATGAGAACATAGCAGAGCTGGAGCCCGTTGCTCCAAACGTGCCTTAACAGCAGTGTAGGGCACAGTTGCTATGTTCGCTCTCTATCAACTTCGGCACATGACGATAAGTTGATAATTCGCGTCTGGACTGCTCACAAAGTTGCTGTTCATAAACTTTTAGATGACGTTCTGGAGATATGTCCTTCTCGGAGCCCAAAGGAGGGAAGTCGATTTGTGAGTAGTCGACGAAACATGTCACCTACTTAATGAAGCCTGTACGTCAACTAATCCATCACATCACCCCTGAAAGGATAAAATGCAACTCTTTAATTAACCCTAGATCAGCCAACGGCATAAACAGTATTGAGAGCCCTCAAAAGAAACGCATTCAGGGTCTCAATTAGAATGCTGGCCTCATATACGGGGTCAGTTCCACGCTATGGACAAGCGGTCGTGTTCCTCCCGTCGGTTTCTTTTTGAATACCTGACATGGATCCAAAGTGATTTCAGAGTTTTCCACGCAAACACTTGCGTTTCATGCACCTCTGCCTCTAAAATGATCCAAATTCGTCTCGGTTGCGATTTTGGACCTTGTAACACCAAAACAATTTTGACGTCGTAAGGATTCCCCAACAAGTTGAAGCATCATCTGGTGCGAAATTTTCACACCGCACATCTATGACTCCGATATAATGTTTGATAATTTGTCTTACTGACAGAGGGAGGAGTGCGATCGCGGGGTGCTCTACAGAATCTCCTGTCAAATGTGTGGGGAAGAATGAGTATGGTCATGGGCGAAACTTCAGTACCACTATGTGCGGGTCAGGGAACATTTACATGGCAAGTCGAATGACTCTGCGTCGGGTTGCCACAGGGTCCAAAATCACAACGAGACGACTTTGGGAGTCATTGAGAGATCGGCGCACGAAACACAAGTGTTCGCTCGGAAAATGGAAACGCTTTGGACCCATGTCAGAAATCCAGAAATGAATGCTTATCCATATAGCGGAGACTAACCGCGTATATGAGGCTAGCGTTCCAACCGAGACTCTGAATGCCATTCGTTCAAGGGCCTGCGATATTGTCACTTGCCGTTGGTTTATTGTCAAATTCGCCCTGTGGTTATTTAGAATTCGATGATTAATGTACTTTCTGCCCTGGTTTGATAGGAAAATTGAGAGAGTACAAAGTTATACTGGCAGGGTGAATATCGGTCGAGGAAATCCTCGACAGGGGGGTCGTACCTGTTGGGCTGGTCCATGGGGGGTCGTACTCTTGGGGTCAGTAACAGAAGTGGTATCGTGGTGCAGATAGGTAAGAGGGTATAGCGCAGCAGAAAATGAAAATATCTGAAAAAAACATGATATTAAATTTTCTTTGCAGGTTCAGTCGCTCCATTCCTCCACCTTCATGAGAAGGGCGTATTTGAAGGCAGTACAAAGAATGAAAGTGCATCCCCGCAAAGAAGACTGCCACATGTGCGCACGCGCTGCAAAGGCACCTCCTCTGCCTATCGCTCGCTCCTTCTCCCTTAATACCTCGCTGAGAATGACACTGTTGTTAGGGACCCTGTCGCAAAAACGACAACCGTGAAGGAAAAGCCCTGGGCAAATGAAGTTGTTCTTTAGGTTGTAGGAGTTTACGAAATGCGTTTACTACAATGCAGCTTCTGTCAACTGGTCATGATCATATGACACCTTCGAATCGATTCTGCAACTTCGAGTGAGGTCGGATGCATGGCCTATACTCAGACAAAATTCGATGATGACGATTGCCCCTTTTCCTATTGCTTATGTTGGGAGGATGTTTTCTAGACCCATTTCAAGCGTTGCCAACAATTACACTTGCAATGGTGAAGGAGGGAGCGGATTTTCAGGTGGCCGGATCCGTCCTCGATACATACTCGACGCAGATATCTTCTCAACTAGGAAATGTAGAAGAAAGCTAAGAAGACCATCAGAAAGCGCAAACCTTCCGCTTTCCAAAACTATCTTCACTTTTTCAGGATCTCACGTTTAAGAGAGATATTGCTCTTGAAGTGGCAAAAACTCGCGTGAAAATTTCAGCGTCCTCGACGTTTACTCGACGAAATTTGAGAGACCCTATCTTTCTGCATGGAAGGCTTTCAGAGCAATTTCAATACTTCTTGGAAACGCGAAATCCAGCTCTATCTAACCCTACCTCAAACTGCTTCAAAGGTTATGAAATGGAGGAATGCAACCTTTTCATCGAGGGTGTAGATTTCGACGGTTTTTTTCGGGATTTCAGCAAATCTGACCCAGTGACAATCGCGCCGCAGCTGCCGTTGAATCGGCCGTTGATTGATACACTCGGCTGTTTCGATATACTCAAGCAGGAATTAAGATTAAATCGCAACCCCGTGCCTTCAGGATTTCTGTGCATTTCTGAACGAACCTGACTTTGAGGTCACACAAAGTTAATGCCTCTTTCCTCGAGTCGATATTTCAGTAAATACACAAAAGTGTGCAGCGATGAAAGACAGTGTGCATATGACAAGATGAGGCGTCCATAACATTATTTTGCAGGATTTTTTTGATTAATTAATTGAATTAATTTGCTCTGTTTTAGGGGTCGTGCCAGGATCTCGATTTCGGGGGGGGGGTCGTACTTCTGCGACCACGTACTCGACACGATTTTCACCCTGAGCGGACAGACACGAATGCAAGCAGCGATTTCCACGTGCTGGCAACAAGGGGTTGCTCCCTGCAAGCAGACACACCCATCTCGAAGGCGTTCAACTCCCTTTCTAGCGGCTTTTCAAGGTGAGTTTTTTTGTGATACCTCATATGTTCTTGACTAGGGCTAATGCATCTTTTCACCCCAATAGTATCGAAGGCCCTGCTGGGGCTATTGCTTCAAAGGAACCCTTCGGGAAAATCGCGATTCTATTTCACCCATAATTCACTGGCTTGGACCCATCGTCACGATAAGAACGAAAAGAACAGAAAAATTGCATTTGTTTTGGTAAAAATTCGAAAAACCGAAAGGGCTGCTACGCGTTCAAAGTACCGCCGGACATCTGTCACAAATGCTGGCGACGGGGATGCTTCCACTTGGTTCTTGGAGTGCCTTCACTAGAAACTCTTTCTGGCCTTCTGCTTATTGCATTCACATCTCACACTTCTACTCCATCCTATTCTATCGATCGATTTGTCTCTACTCTCCAAAATCGCGCTTTAACCCGATTCTTTCATTGCGTCGCCTGATACGTAGCCGCCCCAAGGCGGACTTCTTTCCATGCCTCGCCTTTGGCTCCGCCCGAATTACCTTCGATGTCCATAGAGTGTAGTTTTTAGTTTGTTTCTCTTCGGAAACCGAATCTTCATGCGTGAAACTTTGTGTGCTGTTTCCAGTGATCACAACTGACACATTCATGTTAAGAAAGAATGCAAGAATTTTCCGCGAAGGATTCCTTTGAGGGTATCATTCCGAAGAATTCTTGCACTCTTTCCCGAGTCAGGGTTGTTTAGAGGGTGAATTAAGAGTCATAAGTTGTGCGTTAGGTAGACTCGGCAGGGTGTGAGCGCTCTGCTACCTGACGCAGCAGGAAACCGTTAAGAAGGTCAATTCCTCATAGCAGCCCACCATTTTATTCCTATTTCATAGAATGCGATAAATGGAGTAGGACAATATCTGAGTCTAAGAATGCTTGAAGAAAGCAAACGCAACTTACTTCGATCCGGAGTACACCTCCATATAAACACAGTCACCTGCTCGATGGTTCGGTTGACCCGGAGCCCAGTTCGTGTATTCTACCTTAAACCGGTGCTCATGTACTACTATTAAGACATATTCAGTTCAATTCAACACATGAGGTTCATCTTCCGAAGAGCGGTCGTCAGAGCGAAGAGTGCCAAAAGGGTTAGAACATATGCATTTTACTCAAAGGCTTCAACTATGAACTGCTAGTGGTTTCATTTAACACCACTTTGGTTTTCTTTGTATTTCAATTGTATTTGTATCGCACATGTTTTGTACTGGATAATGCATCATATAGAAAAATTAATATGCATGAGTAGCTCAAACCCAACTCAGGGAAGGGAGGAACTCTGGAAGAAATAGAACCTTCCGCGAACCACGAAGTCTCCTCCTCCCTTCTCCCTTGTGCTAGCCACCCACTACACAGATTGTTGATTTTTATTAAGGATTTTTCGGTGGAAATGTCTGCCCGTTAATATTTTTAGCACAACCACTACTATCGGCGAGACAATGTGCGCGCCTTGTTACCACGGCGTGCGGCGGCGCACTAGACCGCTCTGTACTGGTCATTCTTTTGATGGACTGTGCTCGTCTATTGCTGCCGTTATTCGCTAATTTGTCTATCTAACACTCCGAGCACGTGGATCCGAAAGGAAGTCGAGTACTCTTGTGGCAGAGTGCGCTTAAGGAAGAAAGTGCCACTTTCACAGGTGTATTGTTGCCGTTTTTTATTCTCATCTTTTCTGGTCAGTCGATCGATTGTTCTTTGGCGACACTCCTAGTGGCTGGGAGATTTGATATTTGATCTTTGATATTGATAGCCACCCCATTAGGTGTGATATTGATCCCGTTAGTAGGATGGTCAATGATACTCCACTGTTGCCTTGTAAAGTTCAGGATGGACTCAAAAGGAGGCGTTTGGAATTCGATTCTTCCCCAACGGACTTCGTTCGAGCCGCAGACCAACTCACCAAAGACGAAAGTATTCCACTTCATGTGCGGACAATTTTAGCTTTCCTGTTAGAGAGTAAAAAAGAATTGGAGCTAGTCAGTCGAAGGAATTGTGAGTTATCAAATAGAATTGATCTCATGTCCAAGGAAATTAAATCTCTCAATGAGGAGAATTCTGCTTTGCGTAAAGCTCTTGATAATCTCAAAAATTCTTCCTCAAACGTTCCTGTTTGTGATGAATCTCAATCTTTGCCTCGTAAGCCTCACTCTTTGACGGAATCGTCGTTAACATATGATGAAGTTGAGCGAAGAAGGTCTCTTGTAGTAATTGGTGTACCGGAAAGTCGTAGTCAAAAATGCTCTGATAAAGTTGCTCATGATCGTGTCTGCCTCCTTCAGTTATTCGATTATCTTGCTATCGATTGTGCTCCTATATCATTCTACCGCATGGGGCGACCAAGCCCTCATTTCAATAGGCTATTGAAGGTTGTATTGCCCAGTTCGTTTTTCACGAATTTAGTGCTGAGGCGGGCACCTCAACTCAAATACTTCCCGTTTCAGAGGGGGGTCTTTATAAGACCTTCCCTCTCCAAAGAGGAACGGGAACGTATTCGGGCCCAGAGAGGTGCTCCCCTCAGCAAAAGAGTGAACGGTCAATCTGGCTACTCAGTTGGCCAGACTTTTGCTTCCAGTGATCACACGAATTGTACGCCTGCATTCAATCATAATGTGGATACCATGCATATTTCGCCTAATTCGGTTAGTTCATTGTCAGCGTCAAATGGTTAAATGTTCCTCGGATGTATGGTACTCAACTAAGGTGCGTTCTGGCTAATATCCGATCGATACCTAGGAACTTAAGCGAACTTCAGCACATGGTTCAGTTTGGTAACTACGGCATTATAGCTCTGACTGAGACATGGCTCTCAGAAGTAATTAGTAGTGAATCCCTATTCGGCCAACTTTGTACACAATTTGTTATTCTCAGATGCGATAGATGCAATAGACGTGGAGGAGGGGTTTCTTTAATTGTTAAAAGGATGTGCAATCCGCGGTTGATTTTCAGTGAGTCAGTTGTCGAAGCTTATGAAGTCATGTGTGTTGATTTGGATCTAGGCTATTCTAGAATTAGAATTGTACTAGTTTACCGATCTCCTTCGTGCGCATCTTCCGCTTTCGATCAGTTGTTAAAAGCTCTTGGAGATTTGGTAGCTGATAACAACAAATTCCTTGTAATTGGGGACTTCAACTTCCCGGATATTCTGTGGTCCCCTCATATGGACTCCAGACCCGCTAGCCTCAGTGCACGTCGATTCGTCGAGCTGTGTGAAAATCTTAATCTGCATCAGTTGGTCTCAAAGGGAACCCATGGCACCAACATTCTAGATCTTGTTCTAACCAACAGTGAAGGTCTTGTTAGGGACGTTGCTGTCAAAGCACCCATCGGAAATAGCGACCATGCCTCTGTCCATTTTTGGATTACGTCTCGAATGGAAGAGAGTTCAGGCATATCCATGAAGAGAAATTTTAAGAAGGCCAACTTCGATGACATTTTAGCTTATCTTAGCAACATTGACTGGTTTGGTTCATTGGCTACTGTGGAAACGGTCAATGAAAAATACGAGCTATTCTTATTTATTCTTCACCACACTATTCAGCTTTTTGTTCCTCTCGTAACGCATAAATCAAGACGGGTGGAACTACCCAGTCACATTGATAGACTAAACCGTAAAAAGAGTGTGGCATGGGAGAAAGCTAGGGCAAGTGATAGTCAGAACGATTGGGAGGATTATAAAAAAGCCACTTCTTCTTTTGAAAAAAGTTTAAACAAGTTTTACAGATACATAGAGAAAAAGATCATTTATTCCAAAAGTAAGAATAACTTTTACAGATTTCTCAATTCTAAGCTCAGAAAAAGGAAGGATGTTGGCTTTTTCCTCGACGATCAAGGTTGCCCAATAAATGACGATAAGGAAAAAGCTGATATTTTAGCAAAAATTTTTCAAAACGCTTACTCAAAAGACGATGACAGTGAAGTATCTAGCGCCAATCCTATTTTTCCTGTCATGAGCGACTCTGTTTGGTTTGATAGTAAGGAGATTTATAAGTTATTAAATAGTTGGCCTCAGTCTCATTCGGATACGCCGGATCATCTTCCTTTGGAATTCATTAAAAAGGTGGCGCATATTATCTCGGGACCACTTGCATTCATATTCAATTTAAGTTTTATGAGGGCAGAGGTGCCTGTGAGGTGGCGTGTTTCTTTTGTAACTCCTATCCCCAAGAAGGAACCCACCTCGTGTCCGCATAATTACAGACCGGTCAGTATAACTTCCACCTTCGCTAGGTTGTTCGAAAAAGTCTTAAAGCAAAGGATTCTTCATCACTTGGACGAATTCAGTATCATCTCTGATTGCCAGCATGGCTTTCAGAAAGGCAAATCTACTGTTACTGCAATGCTGCAGTCTCTTAATGACTGGACAGCATACCTAGACAATGGTCAAGGAGCAGATGTTGTTTACCTGGACTTCGCAAAGGCATTTGACAGGGTCTCCCATACTAAACTTATCTATAAGCTGGCACTAGTAGGCATTCATCCTCGTATTGTGGCTTGGGTTAAAGCCTTCCTCAGTGATCGATCCTTTGTTGTTCGCGTCAATGGTATCTTTTCCGAAACTGCGCCTGTGCTCAGCGGTGTACCGCAGGGTTGTGTTTTGTCCCCCATTCTCTTTAATATCTTCACATACGAACTGCCGGAGTTAGCTGGCTCGCGGGGAGTTAAATGCGTTGCATTTGCGGACGATTTCAAGCTCTACTATCCAGTCTCCTCTAGTTCTGACAAAGAATTACTTCAGAATGCTATCAATGATATCAACTGTTGGGCAGCGCAATGGAACCTGCCCATTTCCCAAGAAAAAACCAAAGTTCTACATTTAGGTAAAGTTGTTGTTGATCCCTCATATTCAATCGGTGACGTACAGTTAGAGGTGGTGAATGAAATCAGAGACTTGGGTTTTCTAATCCGTAGCGATCTGAGCTTCGATGAACACTGTTCTAGGATAGCCTCCAAAGCAACAGCTCTCACATTCAACCTGTTCAGAGCTTTGACAACTAAGGACTCTCATGTGCTCCTCAGAGCTTACGCAACCTACGTTAGACCTCTATTAGAATATGGGACCGTCATATTTAATCCGCACAAAGTGAAAGTTATCAACACGTTGGAGAGGGTTCAAAATACTTTTACTCGAAAACTTTTCCTGAGAGTGATCGGTTTCAAATATGATCAGATCCCTTCTGGAGTAACACGGAATGCTAATCTCAATCTTGAAACTTTAGCGCTCAGAAGGAGGAAATTTGATTTGATAACGCTCTTCAAGATTTTTCATGGTCATTCTGGGTTCAAGCCCCATAATTTGCTATTCGTTAGGGAATCGAGAACTAGGGGATGCCCTACAAAATTTTCAATTGCCAGGGCTAAACGCAACGTCAGACGCCACTTTTTTGTTAACAGAACTAGCTCGGAGTTTACTAGGCTGCTTAGACTAGGTATTTCAACGGACAAACTAAGTTCATTCAAGAAAGCCTTAGAAAAGTACCTTGCATCCTAACACTCTTTGTTATGTCCTCCGTTTTTTTTTTTCTTTTCTTTCACTCTTGTAGCTCCTAGTTAACTATAGATAGCCTAGGAACTGTTCCTCTTGTTTGTTACCTCTGGGTTTTTATGCTTTTCGTTTTATGCTTTTCGTTATTTAGCATGGGTGCTAACCTGTGCAATAAACAATTACAATTACAATTACAATCTGCTCCAAAATACTTGTGAGGAAGAACTTTCAACGCCTTCTTATTGCGCCTAGCGGCACTATTTATTTTTTTTAAATATAATTTATTCTTATAATTTTACTCTTTACTATTCCATGCGCATGCAGGGACACCCCACAAAGTCTTCAACAAGCACACATTTGCTCATATTCAGTATCCTTGGAAATCTGAGTCCTTGAAAAGTCGACTTCCTTCTTTGTTATCAGCTAGCGAACAGGTACAACTTTTACCAAAAAAAAAACGTCCGGATTCAATTCATTTTTTGCTACAAATTAGAGATCTGTGTTTTTTGAGGCCCTTTTCGATGATGTTAGTTGGCTGATGGAAGAAGTCCCTGCTGGAAAGCTGGAAGCAGTCAGGAAAGGATTGTTATAAAGGACTCTCAACGATATAGGATGCAATTCCTCTAGCACTATCATTGTTAAAGAATTAGTCTCATTTTTCAAAACTGAAAAAAGGGCGGTCACACACGTGTAGACATAAAGAAGGCCAAAAGGGAACGGTTGCCAGAGTGTTACAGAAAAAGGACCAGCCCACAGGCCATTGCAGAAGATGTTAAGATGTAATTCTGATGAGTCGATTTCGGCGCAGGTGGAAAGAAATGCAAATAGGTGGGTGTAACGCCGAGAATTTCAAAATTTCCATCGAGGGCAAGGCTAGCGTCTTCTCCTAGCCCCAATCATAAGTGTGAGGCTTGTAAATGGTATAATCCGAACCCTTTTATTTCGCATCCTAAAACATGTCCTCTATAGGGGAGGGGCCAAAAGACTCACTTCGCCCAGAGCACACATCAACAAACTTTTCGTCACGCAGAGTAGCACTGCTGATGGAAATTTACAGCAAAATATTCTTTAGATGTGATCATAAGCAGTAAGCAAACCCTCTTTCCCGAGGTAAGCAAACCAGCCCTTTTGGCGTTTCGGCTGGGACCGTATGCTGAATGTTGGGGAGGGGATGGGGTCCCCAACGGTCGACGGTTTACTTCAACTCGGTTGGTACGATAGGAGAGTACTGACGCAAGTGGTGCAGCTGGTCCAGCAGCTCCGCCAGAAGGGCTGGTTTGCTCACCCCAGGACTAAGCCTTGGAGGGGACGGACCCGTCCTCTCTTTAAGGCTTAGTTCTGAGGTAAGCACCAAATTGTGGCGGTTCTAAGGACCGAGTTGAAGTGGTCCGTCCACCGTCGGGACTCCATCCCCTCCCCAACATTCAGCATACGGTCCCAGCCGAAGCGCCAAAAGGGCTGGTTTGCTTACGTCCCTTTCACTGCCCTCACCGTCCTAGAGTACGACGTCATCCTACTATCACTGTAGCGCTCATGGAGGCCTACCGTTATGGCTACAGCCTGAAGCTGCTAAATGATTTCATCGAGTGGTAGACTGATGGACAGCTCCCTAGAAACACTGGCTCTAGCTATGCAAGACCTCTCCGGACCATCCTTCAGATAGCGTCGTAACGATCCACGATCCGTCGAAGATCTCGTTGAGCTCGAATCGTGCACCATGTATCCGTGAAAAAATCTTTTGATGCCGTCAGTGCAGAAGGCTGTTGCCTTCAATAGCCATTTGTGAACATTCACTTAGAATATAGGAAAGTTGACTAGTCGGTAGAATAAGGAGGAAGAGTGACGCATTTTATTGTCCCCCCCCCCCCACCCCTATAGACACGAGGGCATGGGCGTGTATTGTTTTGGGAGTGACGTGTGTGGATCGCGAGCAAGAGGTGACGCATATTTCTCATTTTGCCCAACATTTTAGATGAAGGCACCCTTTACGACTGCAGGATATGGGTGATTGGGCACCTAAATGCTGCTATCTGGTCCATAGCAAGCATTAAAACACATGAACCGCCGATGTCCCCTGAATGAGGCGCTTTTTTGCTGTTCATTTCGAGCAATGGATGAGCATAGGATATTGAGACATGGAGAATGAATGAGTGATCAGACAACAAAAATAGGATAGAGTGGAGAGACGAGCGAAGGCAGAAACCGCTCAAGACGTAGGTCGCATGAAAGAGTGCGGCTTACAAAGTTTAGGGGTCCAGGGGTCTTGCACAACAAAACTCTAGCACCTTTGCGTACCTTTCTCTTCTAAACCTACCACCGTGCAGCTAACGAGACCACATTACTCACAAAAACGTTTTCCTAATTTTACCACTCGGGAGTTTCCATTAGGGTTGTGATTGTGCAGCTTAAAGGCAAAGGTCGGGCTCAGGCACGCTAGAGAAGTAATTCCCGTGCCTGGAGGTTGTATGTGGGTAGCTGCACACATTGCAGCAACTTCCCACCTTGAAAAACCCCGTTAAGGCCCCGGGCGTTCGGTTTCAATCCAGGGCCGCCTGGTCAATCCAGGACCGCCCACCTCCGGAAGTGGTGCGTGGCTGGCATAACGTGTGAAATCAGCTAGGTTGATTGCCGTATCAACCGATAGAACGACTGACATCTCCAGAAACTTGTTTGTACGTGCCTCTTTCCCCAAGCCAGGATAGATAGGATAGAGTGGAGAGGCGAGCGAAAGCAGAAACCGCTCAAGACGTAGGTCGCATGAAAGAGTGCGGCTTACACAAAGCTTCACTGCTAGTGGGAAAGAGGGTTTGGTTAACGGTCTTGTCGACGGTTTTTCTCAGTTTTCTTCTCCACTGCTGTTCCATCTATTGGGGCGCATCTCTATCTGTTATACAATCGCCATAATCCCCCCCTATTGAGCCTGAATTTGCATTTGAGTGAAATAGACGTCAGCCACAAAAAAAGACAAGCGTCAAAAATGATTGGAAGTATGGAACCCACTTTTCTGGAAGTCGGAGAAATGTGACAATCTGCGAACTGCGACTGCGCGGGATTAACGCAAGGGAGAAGAAGGAGAAGGACAGACTGACTGCGACAAAAAGCGACAAGGCAAACAACAAACACATGAGAGATGGAAGAGGACAATCGCGACGCAGACACACCGCTAAGTAAATTCGGCTAACCAGATTGCGTGTCTGGCTTGTCGCGCGCGACAAAGCCAAGACCAGCATCTGGGTTCAGCGACGGCCTCAGCGCGTAGGCCGAATTTTCAAGAACTTTGCTAATCGGCGAATTCGATTCACGAACGTCTGACACCGCCGCAAATGTGCAATTGGATGTGCTAATGGTAACATTCTCTTTCAACTTGACGCTAATCGGTTTACATTACGGCCGCTGCAACTGTCTCGACTGGCTCCTGTCGGGGTGCCCAAACTCTTGCATGACCGATAGCGCATATAATTTAACACGTTGACGACATCGCGCGTTTTGGGTTTTGCACCGCGTGGGACCAGAGCGATTTTGCGAGCGCTGCCGCCGCACACCAAATCCATGGATTTTGAGCTGTAAATACGCAATACTTAGATGCGATGAATTGTTTCAAATAATGTTCGATCTGTCTAACTTATCGGGAGTTACAGTAATGGAAGTTCGACCGAAATGACGTGTTAAGGCCATGAAAAGGCAAATTTTACTTACTTTCCCTTTAGTGGTTCCAAAATTAATTTGGACGTGGTTGTTTTAGTAAAAAAACATATTTTGCCACACGACTAGTTTTGTATTCACTTCTATTATTCTTTTTATTCACATGTTCGCGTTAATGAGAAGAAAATGAGGAATGAATTGAACGGATATTTTCGTCAGGTCTGGAAAACCTCTGCCCAAACTTAAGAATAATTGGTCATTCTGTAAGCCACGTGGTTCTTGGTTATGTTGATGTATGACCTATAAAATGAACACAAAAAACCTAGGAAGAAATCGAGCATGTGCGCAAAAAATAAATGTAACTGGTGTGGCATACATAGTTGCCACAATGTCCATGGAGGTGCAAAAGTGGCGGCATACATAGTTGCCGCGCTGTCGTCAAGGTTAAACCACATCACAAAGATCCAAGTAAACGCCTTCGACTCATTGTCGCGTATTTTCAAGCCGCAAAACGGCACATCTCACACCTTTGTCATGACTTTGTCCTATCCATGCTCTTGCAAAGATCTTTATTCCATGGAGGGCCACCGTATTTCGGTTTCTGCGCATATGTTTGCTTTATTCTCATCAATTATAAAGAGTCTAAAAAGTATAACTACATATATCTCGGGAACGCAAGAGGAATTTTGAATTTATTAAGCAAAGCGGTCCAGTGATAATGTGTAATCGATTAGGGTGAAGACGTGCAGGGACAGGAAGAAAATAAGAAAGAAATAAAATGGCAAACACAAGCCATTTCTCGGCCTCTGTAATTTCTGACCTACAGTGAGGTCAGAAAGGTGGAGGTAGTAATGCTCAGTGTACTCAAATTCAAGTTCTAGTGGTGGTCTCTCTCACTCCTTGGCGACAGACATCAAGGTGAGCTGGTAGCACTCTTCGCATTGACCGATACCGACTGAGGGTTTTCTAGTCTATTGGAGTTGTCTTCAGGATTGTTAGAAGCTTCGAGGGATCGATCTCAATGTTCTCGACTTTTTCAGGCTCTGAAGAAGGCGAAGAAAGCCGAAACGTCAGCCTTGTTAAGTACTACAATCTTGGAGAGGCTTCAATAAATTATAAGACTGAATCTTCAATGCCAAGATTTAAAAAAGTGGACTATGTTTGAATAGTCAAAGAATATTGAAATTTATCTTGCTTGCATTGAACTTTGGAAAAAATCGGTAATTCCCACCAACCGATTCTCCCATGCTTGATTATGCGGAATGAGGTAAAAGTGAATAAAGATGAAACTGACCGTTCTGTTCCTTGCTGTAGCGTATATTGTAGGAAGGAACAGTAATAATAATATCAGCATTGCCTGAAATTACTCGTAGATGTATAGTGACAATGAGGTGTAGCTGACAATCATAAAACACGGGAAAATGACGACACGGGAGAAAACCGAGTTGCGATACTCTTTCAAGCGGAAAAGATGTAAGGTAAAACATTTGATACTTATTGTTCAAGCGGCGCTAAACGATAGTAAATTGAACTTATTTGACATAAATTTTGCTGAAAAGTGTCATCTTTGCTAGTTTCGACAATGATCTACAGCGTTTGACGGTCCCCTGCAATTGCTTATGACTGATTTGTTGTCTACACGCGTTGGGAGTGGGCCGCTCAAACTTGCGCCTTAGGCCGATGTCAGACTTTGCGAATCGCGCGATTCGCTAGCGTCTGCGGTCGCGTCGCGGCCAGTGAATCACTCAATTGGCTGGTACCGCAACGCGACCGCGGACGCTAGCGAATCGCGCGATAACTTAATACACGAAATATACGAAGTTATACGAAGTTTACACGAAGT